GGGCTTCGCGCCGGCGAGACATCCGCTAGGAACCCACACGGGCGCCGGCGCGAGCGCGCTACGGGGCCAGTGTGGCGCTTCGGGCCAAGATGGGTGCGGGGGAGGAGAATGGGAGGAAGGAGGAGGAGGAGGAGGAGGAGGAGGAGGAGGAGGAGGAGGAGGAGAGGAGGAGGAGGAGGAGGAGAGAGGAGGAGGAGAGGAGGAGGAGGAGGAGGAGGAGGAGGAGGAGGAGGAGGAGGAGGAGGAGGAGGAGGAGGAGGAGAGAGAAGCGAAAAGGATGAGGTGGAGGAGGAGGGGGCGGGGAGAGGCAGGGAGGAGGATGCGGCGGGGAGGAGGGAGGAAAAGGACGAGGGGGGGTCGGCGGGGAGGAGCATGGGCTCGTGGGTACGGCGTCGACGGGCGGGGAACCCCGCGCGGGCCCCAGGAGAAAAAGAAGAAGAAAAAGCGGAGCAGCAGCAGCAGCAGGATTTGCGCCGTCCGGGCTCGACCGCCCTGCGGCGTCCAGGACGAGGGAGGAAGGGAGTCAGACTTTTGTGCTCACGAGGCCTGATGAAGACATTGGGGAGAAGTAGTGGTTGCCAATTCACTGACTGCGCGAGGACGTGGCGATGCTGTCGGCCGCATGTTTGCACTGATGGGACGGCGGATGTTGGGTGCCTCCGTTTACATGTGGAGAAGGTGTAATGTTAGATCTTCAAATTGCAAGACCACGTGCGCGAACTCTGAATGACACGCAACGGCTGCGAGGGCACTTGTCAGAAGTGTGAACGGGTTCATTCGGTTGTATGCTTGAAGGTTCAACAGGAGGGCATACGTCCTAAGCTAAACAGTATTTCGCGGTTTCACCCAGACGTTCTTTCCCCAACCAAGCTTTGTCTAAGAGTCCTACATTATCATGTGCAGGAGGCCCTTCTCGTTCTTCGAAGTCATGCAATGCCATCAGTGTCAAGCAAAGCAATCAGGATAACGCGATGCAGTGTGATTCAAAGCAATGCAGCGCAATGCAATGCAACGTTGTGCACAGTATTGCACGCCAACTCCAAATTTAGCAGCACATCGCACTACTGTAATGTATGGCAGTTCGCTCCCTATGCTTATTTTTGGGGCTTAGCTGACCCTCAGCTTCAGCTTGTCTTTAGCCTGATGTTCTCAGCCTGTCTCTAACCTGTCTTTGTTCGAAGGGGCACTCACACGCCAGGCTCGGTCTTGAATCAGCAGCCTGGGGCAGTCTCGAACCATCACCGACGTATGAAATACACCACTGGACCAGGCCTCACGCGGATTTTTCATTTCAGTCCCTGGGCCCATGGGCTTTCGACCCCCTCCCCAGCGGCCGTTCTTCCACCGCGAATCGCTTCTGATGCCTCCGCGTCCCCAAAGGCGATCCAGGGCGACTTCGGGGAGCAGCTTTGGAATCGCAGAAAAACGCTCCGCCGAGAGTGTGGGGACAACCTCGCCGATACAGGATGAGGAGGCGGAGGAGGAGGAGGAGGAGGAGGAGGAGGAGGAGGAGGAGGAGGAAGAGGAGGAAAATGAGGACGAGGACGAGGACGAGGAGGAGGAGGAGGAGGAGGAGGTGGAGGAGGAGGAGGAGGAGGAGGACGTGGCACTCAGGGTCCACCTCGATCCGACCGATCTGACTTGACATCGCTTCTGGCCGGCATCGACTCGATGCGGCCCGCTGCCTGCGTGGCGCTGCTGTGCATGCCGGCGTGGCCGACTCGATTCGGGAGACTCTCCATGGGGGGGGACCCCATGGGATCCCCAGGGGATCCTTTGGGATCCACCCCCCCTGGGATCCTGTCCCCCCATGGGATCCCCCCCCATGAAGAGTCTCTCGATGCTCGTTCCGATTCGATCCGATGTCGCGATTCGATGCTGACTGCTCCTGGCGAGCGCTCGAGGGGGGCCTCCCGTCAGCCTGGCCCGGGGGGCTCCAGGAGAGGCAGGCCGGGGGGACGGGCAAGGGGGGGAGGATCGGCGTGGAGCTGCAGGGCAAGGCACGATCCGCACAAGAGCCACAAGCGACCCGGGCGTCTCGGTGCAGGAGGCACCGAAAACGAGGAAGGGCTCACCCTGCAGGATCGGTTAACTCCGAGGCGGGAATTTATACATGACCACCGCCTGGAGGGTTAGTTTTCGGAGCCTCGGCAGGCGGTGGATATGGACATATTCGGGCCCCCAGGGGCCGAAGCATATCCATATCCACCGCCCGCTGGGGCACCAGGACGTTTGCTTCCAGGCGGTGGATATGGATAAATCCCCGCCTCGCATCAACGGCACATCGTGGAGCGGTGCCGCGGCCTCCCCTGAGCACGGCCCCCCCCCCCCCCGGAGCCGCTGCCAGGCCGGCCGGGTCTGCACCCTCAGGCCCTGGAGCGCTCCCAGGTGCGCTGCGGCCCCCCTCTCCCACGGCCTCGTCGGGGCCACCGCCAAGGGAGAGGGCGGCGGCGGCCGACGCATCCCCAATCACTGGCCGGTGTGCAGTGCCAGGGAAACCCGGAAAGCAGCAGCAGCAGCAGCAGCAGCAGCAGCAGCAGCAGCAGCAGCAGCAGCAGCAGCAGCAATAGCAGCATGACAAGGCGTGAAGCGCACAAGAGCCACAAGCGACTCGGGAGTCTGGCGGAGGAGGGGAGAGCGGGGCTGCCCAGGAGGGGAGAGGGGGGAAGAGAGAGAGCGAGAGAGAGAGAGGGAGAACAGGCGAGGGGAGAGTGACTCGGGGCCCCCCGACAGGTGCGGTGACCACACCATATGGTGAGTCCGTGTGGATTCGGGGTGGCCGCATGGTTTTGGGGCTAGTCCCGTTCTCTGAGGATATCTCGGGCAACTGGGGCATCCCGAGGTCCTAGAAGAGCCTGTTTCCTTAGTGCTTGAGTCATAACGTGCGTTATGGCCTCCGGCCCCCCCCCAAAACGTAACGCCTTTCCCTCCTCCAGTGCGCCCCGGGCATTGCCGCCGTGCGCATCGGGATCCGCATAGGCGTCCTCATAGGAATCGCACGGGGGTCCAGTCCGCATTGGGAATCTCATGGGGATCCGCATAGGGATTTGCCTAGGGATTCGCGTAAAGATCCGTATAGGGATTCGCAAAGGGATTTGCATGGCAATGCGCATGGGCATCCGCATAGGCATCCGCATCGGGATCCGCATTGGGGTCCGCATAAGCACCCGCATTGGGATCTGCCAAGGGATCCGCATAGGGATCCGCACTGGGATCCGAATAGGGATCCAAACTTGTGACTTTGGGTTCCCATTGAAAGCTCCTCCTCTTCCTTCTCTCTTTTTCCTCCTCCTCCTCCTCCTTTCTCCTTTTCCTCCTCCCTTTCCTCCTCCTTTCCCTCCTCCTCCTCCTCCTCCTTCTCCTCCTCCTCCTCCTCCTCCTCCTCCTCCTCCTCCTCCTCCCCCTCTCCTCCTCCCCCTCCTCCTCCTCCGCATCCATTACGGCGACAAGGGGCGGAAGAGGGATGTCTCGTGGCTTGCGGCTCGTGGCCCCTGGTCGTGGCTCGTGCGCACACGCACTGCGATGTACACAGAAGCGCTATCATTACCTGCGTAGCACACTCCTTGCACGGGAGGCACTTGGTGCAGGCTTGGGCGGCAGCGCTTGCCTCCAACATGAGATGATCGCATGTTCGATTCGCAATTCCCCCCAGGGATTATCAAGTTCGGCCTCCGCGCCCTCTCCACAATTCAATCCTAGTGACACGGTATGAAATGTTAGAGGGGGTGAAGGGGGGGTAGGCTTTTTTTATCGGGGGCAGTCGGTTACCCACCCTCCCTTCTCATTCCTCCCTTTTCCACTTCATCCCTTCTTGCGGGCGCTGTGGTGAGCGAAGTGGCCAGGGCGTGCACGGGCGTCGTGGGCTAAAAGTGCAGGCCTGCGCGCAGGGCGAGGAAGAACAATAATCACAACCAACTTGCGTGTTGAATTTGATGACATCGGCCGCCCCTACGATTTTCTGGTAGTCGGTCCCGTCTGAACCCCACAGGGTCCCAGAGGTGCGCACAGGCCTTGTGGTGATCACAAACACTGTGGTGCACACAGATGGTGCTGAACTGGTCGTGGCTCGAGGCCCCTGGTCGTTGCTCGCGCGCATTGGCACTTCGGTGCACACGGAAGCGTTACCGTTTTACCGTCCCCCCGTTTTTCCCCATCCCTATTCATTCCGTCTTGGCCCTTACCTCTCCTGCCGGCATCGTGTACACCATCCGAACCTCGCAACAGGGCTGATGTGCGCACGGACACCATGGCGTCGTCGTCGTCGTCGTCGTCCCTTGTCGTCGTCGTCGTTGTTGTCGCTCGTCGCTCATCGTCGTCGTTGTCGTCGTCGTCGTCGCTCGTCGCTTGTGGCTCGTCGCTCGTCGTCGTCGTGCGCGCGGACGCTGTTGTGGTGCGGGAGCCACACGGCGTGGGGGGGCCGTTGCGTTACGACCCCCCCCCCGCCCCCCCATAACGCTTGTTGTCGCTGCGAATAAATTTATCCCAGTGCGACCCTACCTAGGAGTAGAGCCCCTAGGAAAGCAGCATTAGTAGTAACAGTAAAGCTAAGCTAAAGCTAAGCTAAAGCTACGCTAAAGCTAAGCTGAAGCTAAGCTAAAGCTAAGCTAAAGCTAAGGTAACGCTAAGCTAAAGCTAAGGTAAATATATGGTAAAGCTAAGGTAAAGCTAAGCTAAATCTCAGCTAAAGCTAAACTAACGCTAAGCTAACGCTAACCTAAAGCTAAGCTAAAGATATGCTACAGCTAAGCTAAATCTCAACTAACGCTAAGCTAAAGCTAAGCTAAAACTAAGCTAAAGCTAAGCTACAGCTACGCTAAGCTGAAGCTAAAGCTAAAGCTAACACTAAAGCTAAAGCTCCCAGGGGCGCAACTGGGTGAACCGCGGGGCGGGGACCGGGGGAACCGTTCGGGGCGGGGACCACTGCCCGGCCCCTTTAAGCTAAGAGAGTAAGAACCATCTAGGCAGAGCCTAGGTAGGGAAAAGCGCGCTCGAACCGTGCTTCGATGGACCGTGCGGTGAGGTCGCGAGGGATTCAGAGGTCACTGCGCGGTCCGTTGCCGTTTTAGGACCCCCAATGGACGGTGGAGGGGAAGGGAAGGTGGAGGGAGGGGGGGAAGGGAGCCGTGACCCTTCTGGCTCGATCGCAGTTAGGTCAGCGTAGGGATTCGAACGAGCGCAGAGCCGCTCCGCTGCTCCAGCTGCCAGCTCTTGCTCCGCAATGAAGACCTTCCAGGTGACGGCCGCCGTGGCGCTGCTGCTGGTTGGCGCGGCCCCCGCCCAGGCGGCCGCCGACGGCCAGAACCCACTGGGAAAGGTGTTGGAGCTGCTTGACTCCTTGTACGCTAAGGTGGCGTCCGCGGGCGACGCGGAGCAGAAGGCCTTCGTCGAGTACACCAACTGGTGCGACGATGCAGCGAGCAACAAGCGGAACGAGATCAAGACTGGTGAGTCGAAGAAGGGCGACCTCGAG